TTTTTCATTCAAGAGTGTCTTAAAAGTGTGGATTCTGCCCCTACTTCGAATCAGATGAATGGCCTTTTTCTCAGGGCAGGATACACCTGGGACCAGCAAAGTCTGACTCCCACCTAATCAAGGAGCAGAGGAGCTCTGTAGGAAGCCCATGCTCAGTAACTACTAGGCAGAAATGGGCCACTGGAGAGCCTGCCAGGTCTGGGATGGATCCACTGCCTCACACCACATCATGCCTTGGCAAAGGGACCAACCCCAAAGAACACTCAGGGGAAGGTCTCTTCTTTCAGGAACATTTCACACATTTGAAACAGGAATTGGTGAAGTACAGAAGTCTTAGTAGAGAGGTGTCAGTGTCAGAAGGGGGAAGAGAAAAATAACTAAATATTCACATTTAAGGAAGTATTAGCACTTAAATAGCTGTAGCTGTGGTATCTGATATCCTGCATGCTGTTAGGCAGCAGCCACAGAGAAATTAAATCTGTTCTCTTGCAGTCCATCTAATGACACCTGAGTATGAGTGGTAGTGGATCCAATCAGAAGAGCAGAACACTTTAGGTGGTGCATAGCCATAGACTGAGTGGTAGAATTTTTACTTTTTCATATCCTTTTTAAATTACATAGAAATATTAACAGAGTTTCTTCTTCTGATTATTCTTTAATGACTGCTTTCAAAAGCTAGTAAATAAATTAGCCCTTATTGATCATGAAGTAAAAGAGTAGTTAGTACTTTTGATCTATGTAATTGACATAGAAAGATAATGTGTGAAATGCATGAAGCATGTGCATCATGAGTGGGTATTGTCATCAGTAGTCTTGCTGTTCAATAAAGAAAAAATTGTTTGGAGAAATTGGTCAAATAGCTACTGCTATTGCATCCACACACTGCTGATTTCTAATATTTTTTCTAAAGATCAGTAATGATATTCTATTAGGGTGATGAGACCAGAATTAATTTAAATAACTTTGTGCCTGATTCATGAAAAACAAAAAAATGCCTCCACAGCCAGGGGCCATTATTTCTGTAATTTTTCCATGCAAAAGTCATGGTCTGTATTCAACTTACAGCTCAAAAAGACAAGTTTTCAATTTATACAGATAGGATTTTATCTTCACAATCAGCTCCAGAGGAATGACCTAATTACTAAAAGGAAAAACCACTCCACTGTCTAGGTCAAAAATACATCAATCACACAACAAAACTCAAAAATATTTTCTTCTAAAATCTATTTATTTATACACACCCACTGCAGCTGCAAAGAGTAAAATAGGCAGACAGAAGAGAACTGATACATTGATATATTAATAGACCGTTTGCCTTTTAGACATCAGTATAATTCCCATTAGTAAATAAATAGAAATGCCAAAATTTTTTAAAAACATCAATCTAAATAAAGATAGGAATTAAAGTAAAACTCGGAGATGTGTTGCACTTCTCTAATGTTCAAGCAGTATGTTCTGTTCACAGCTCACATTTGCTTGTTTGCTCACAGCACATCTCAGCAAATGTGGCAGCCTTGTAAACACCGCTTTCATTTTGCTCCTTCTCTTGCAATCTTTTTTTCTATCGTGAGCAAGAGCTGTGTACCTTGGAGAGATATCCCAGCCAGCTGAGAGACAAATGATGTGGGTAGCGTAACTTTATGAAAGTGCAGTGGTTAAAAGAGCTGTATGAGAGATTCTGCTCAAACAAAATCAGATGAGTATTTCCTGCTGGTTAGAATATTCCTGTGAAGGCCAAATCATACCATATTTCAAATCTGGCAGAATATTTACAATATTAGTTTTACATTTTCCCGTATGATTTTTATTAAAGTGTATACTTGTTCAGTAAAGAACAAGCTCAAACCACCTACCACAAAGATATTATCCACACTTGTGCTGGAAAGTAGTTTGCTTTCTAAAGTTACAAAGAATATTTGAAATTAATGGAAGAAAAACAACAGGGGAAAAAAATATTTCCTCAGTTTGTTTATAGTGTGCTTTTGACAGAGCTTTCTGTGAGGCCAGTGTTAGCGTTTCCTTTCGTTTCCCTTCGTTTGTATGTGCAACTTTCACAGCCACAGAGAGATTATTTGTAAAGATATATATATGTGTAATTGAAAAACCACAAAACCTGGCCAAAAGATGCAGCGGAGGCCAGCTCACTGAATTTTAATCCTGTTTTTAAAGGGGTAGTTTGCAATTTTTTAGGGGTGGCTTAAACTTTTTGTACATAAAAACCTGCAAACTGTGATATTCCTTTTCTTCAGAAAAGTTTTCTTTCCACTTCAAATATTAAATCTCCATGGGGAAAATTTTCTTCAGGTGTAAAATGTTTCCTGAAACGAAACCTACTCCCTGCTTTAATATTCCTACTTCAAGAAAGTAACTTACTGATCCCAGATGACAGTGAGGAGAGAAACAGTAAAATCTCTTTCACGTCATTTGTTTAATGAATTTTAATAATACTTTACTGGGTTTTTTTCCAGAAAATGTATTTCTTTCTAAATGCTGCTCTCGGCAAGATAGAAAAGTGAAAAAGAAAAAGGTTCTTATTTGAGTATGGATTGCAGGATCAGGCCCATTGATCTTGGCTTACTTTCTGCTTAGCTTTGCAATACAGCAAAAAAATATTAAAGACTCCTAAGGCCTTTTTCAGGTACATATACTACAGTTTCCTGCAGCTATAAATCCTTTTGGTTTAAAGAATTTCATCCTAATTACCAAAAATGTATATCCAAGCCCAAGGCAAATTCTTTCTTACTTTTTTGTTTGTCATTTTAATATTAGCTTTGCTTACTAAATTATTTCTTCAAGATCTTCAGGCTGTTTTACACTTTACTGTTACCTTTTAATGCATTTTCTGTCCTTAGATTTCTATTTAATACTTGTTTATGCATTTCTCAATAATTTTAAAACATAACCTCAAAAATAAAATCATAGCTTTTCTGCTATAAAAACCCTTTGCTTTAATACAAATACAGTGATTTAAGCACCCTTCTGGGGTTTTTTAGCTGTTAGTGTTCCTGGTCTCAAATTTTAGCATCATTATTTAAAATGAAGGAAAAAAATCAACTTGCAATTTAGACAGTTACCAAATTACCAAAACTAGTGCAGCAACTCTTAATGAGTGAAACCATTAACAATTTTCTGACTGCAGCCCCTGTTCAAATACCTTGGACACCTTGTTAGCACAGAATGAGGTGTTCAATCAAGACACTGGGAATTGGAAGTACCAGGGCACAGTTTTGAGTGGTGATTACAAGGGCATGAGTGTGAGTGCCAAAGTAACAGTCTTCTACACTGCAGGAAGCTGAGAAACCTTCAAGTCTACATTTGTAAATCAGCTTGGATGATTACAGCAGTCACAAGCAAAGAACATATGAAACAATTATTTGCACCGTTCTTTTTTAATTTGCTCTTAAAATGAACACAGTGATATTAAGAGCCATTAGTGCTTTGTCTTTGAAAATTTCCCTGGACTTCATATCTTTCCAAGCAGCATCTTAAATTGCTTAAAAGTATAAATGTAACAAAGAACTATTGTTTTCTGATTGTTAAATCCCTTTCACATCAATAATCTAAGCTTACATTAGCATTCAGATATGTCTTTGAATTTGCTTAGAAAGTATTTGTTTCATATGCAGAAGCAATATGATTTTAGGCTTTCTACTTTTTTCCTTCTAATTGCTGTGACAAAGACAGTTTGCTTTTCTTAAATGAGTAAATTTTAAAAACAAATTTTGTCACATTAATATTTTGTTGCAGATGTAAATCTACTTTCATTTTATTTAAGCAAGAGATTACCACTCTTTGGTGTTAACTTTGCTACTTTAATTTTATAAAAAAGTCCTTTATAATAGTTTCCATACAATCTACGTATAATCCATGTAGAAATAACCCTAAACATTTCTAAAACTCATATTTCAGACACAATACTTGTGAATAGGAGTTTCTTTCATATTAAAGATAAGGAATTATTGACTAAGGAAGGGATGAGAAAAAGCAAAGAATTAAATTATTCCCAGTGAAAAACTGGAAAAAAAGATAATCTATTTTTTAAAAATTCAAAGTATCCTGATACATTCCTATACTTCATGGAGATATATATATATATATATATATAATAAATGTGTATGTAATTCTAATATTTCACTGCCTCTGGTTTAAAGAAATAAATTGTGGTGGAAAGTATCTAAAAACTGCTGCTTTAATTTAAGAGAAATATAATGTTTCTGCTGGGAGTTTTTTGGACAGCTCATCTAATGCCTTTTATAGAAATAAGCAAAGTATATTATGGGCTTAATTAGCATCTCAGCTGTACTAATTGCTTATATAAATAGCACATAGAAATTCATTTTTGTTCTTTTTGATCATCAAGAAACATTATGCAAGAACTTTTCACACAGGACCTTTTTCTTACATGTATTATTTTAAGAAAATTAAATACTTATTTAAAATTAATACATTTTTGTAATAATTATTTCCTTGCATAATTCTATTTTGAGCCTTGCAAAAATAGCTAGTTCTCCAATTTTAAATGCATCATTATGGCTGAAAAATCCTGAAATCCTGTCATATCAGCCTCTTGCTTTACTACTGGTTTCTGGAAACTCCTCAGAACAAATCCTTTAGCACTACAAGAAACAGATAATTCTGATTCTCTATCTAATATTTGAAGACTCAAAAATTATTAAAACAATACAGCCTGCCTGTACTAAAACAAAACTCCAGACTGTGATGTACTTCACTGTTAATGACACACTGGGGAACTAAATTATGCTGTAGGGAATGCAAAAGTGTAGCACTAGGAATCTAAATTATGTTGTGGGGAATGCAAAAGTGCAACATCTCTGCTGCTATTTTGCGCTTGTTTTCTTCCTACATAACTTTAAATTATGTATTGCTGTAAATTTTGTACTTGAGGGTGCTGACGCTTTCAGGTAATATTATAAAGTTACATAGCACTTAAAACATAGCTGAATATTCTCACCCCTCCCCCGCTGCCCAGCTATACCTACCAGCAGCTGAAAAAAGCAGTAATTGAAATTAAAGGCTCCTCCAGCACGTAGGAACGTCTGGGTTTAATAACCGGAGGGGTTTCAGGTGCAGAGGGCGCTGTTGTTCGTGTATTCTGCAAGCATTTCCTGAGCAAGGAGAAAAACAGGGATCCACCAGTTTAACGTCTGCATTTTTAAGGTTTCCATAAAATGTCAGTGGAATTGCTGACATATAGATGCTACCTTCCACAGTATGTGATGAGTTTCCTGAAATAAATCCTTTTCGTGGCAGTCTAGAAGGGAGATGCCAGCTATCGTCACCAAAGCGAAATGTTTTTCACTGTTTCCACTTTACAGTCCATTTACCAAGATTTCATAACCCAGCCACAAGGTTCCTTCCATCACATTTTCATATAAGGATATTTCAGTTATTTTCATTTTGAAAGCACACCAGATGTGTTTAAGTGTAACTTGCAATGAAAAGTGTGAAAACAATTTGAAACACATCACTTTAGTGGCATTCTTCAGCATTTCTTTCTTTCTGAAATATTATTTGCAGTTCATACCTAGTTATTTCAGGTGTTTTGCCCATGACAAATTATTAACTACCTATACCCACAAAAACCAGTATAATATACCATTTCTATCTTGAAATAATCTTCTGCACAGTAACTTTTCTTTTGAGTTTTACATATGCATTTCTTAGCATTATACCTCTGCACATGTAACTAACAGCTTTAAAAACATTTTTAGCTCTTTGAAGTAAATTGTTTTCTAAATCCCCATAAATATACTACATCTTCTCATGCATTCACATTTTCTCTTTTCCCCCCACTGTTGGAAAAAAACTACCATGCCTAAAAAAGAGTGGAAAAAAAAAAAGGTAGAAAATTTAATGACAATTTAGACCCACAGAAAGCCAGGAAACTTACAGTTACTGCTGAAATTTTGCTTTAAACTTGAATAATTCTAGTTAAGGTGTTTGGCTGAACAGGAAAGGATGGTCATGCTGCCGTCCTTTTCTGGAGTCACTGGAAGTTCGATCTCAGTGGGAATTACAGATTCAGGCATCAGACATCCTGGATCAGCTCCTGTGCTGAGTTTCCTGTGTTACCTAAGCCCAACAGGGTTTATTAAAGCCAAAGCAACAGGCTTTGTCCAGTTCCAGGTTGTGACTTTAAATCAAACTAAACTGCTCAAGCAATTTTATTAAGTTCAGCATTCATTTACCCATAAAATCTGACCTTATCTAAAAAGTTATTACATGAAAGAAAGGAATTGAAGAAGATTATGCGATATAGTGTACTTTTCTTCTCTAATAAATTTTATTGACTCCTGTATTGCAGTACAGTCTAATGCATCTGCATTCTAAAGTGTCTGAAAGCATCCACCTGGGAAATCTGATTTTTAAAATTAAGCTACTAGTTTAAACAATAAATTTTGGGAGAAATAAATTTTTCATGTGTCACTCCTGCCATGGGGCTCTCTATGCAAAACAAATTTCACATTTCAAAGAAACAAAAACCCACCAGAATATGTGGCAGACTGAAACTGCTCTTTGCATGAGGTTTGTGCTCCCCATTAACCAAAACTTTACCTGGTTAAAACAGCGCCTACATTCTAATAAAAACCAGCCATTGATAGTTTTTCTCCTTGAATCGACGCTCATTCAAAAGTTTCCCACCTGATAAAGGCTTTAATATAACTGAGACAAAGTTGCATTTTATGATTGGCAAGTTCTTTGCGCCCCAGCTACCCCCCAGCCCGGTGGAGCGGGGCTCCGAGATGCATTTTGGCCCTGTCTTCATGTCAAATCACTGCCATCAAAACAATGGCGCACATTACAGGAAAATCTTGTGCAAATGAGCCATAATGGAAGTGAATGACAATCTCGTAAGACCGTGCAGCAGGATTCTCCTTTGATCTGAAATATTGTTAATCTTTCTCAAACATAACACTAAGTATACTTGGCAAATCCTGGATGAGAAGGTCCCCGTAGTGCGGCTCTGTGGACAGCCAGCCAGGAGCCAAGCACACCCCGCCACAAAAAGAGGCACAGCCACGAGAGAGGAGCACACCACACTCAGCCATGAGCTCTGCAATTGCTACAAATTTGTTTGCAATTCAAAGGCCTCTTCACCCATTTTCCTTTTCCCGAAAACAAGCTAAACAATATGTTTATTTATTCTTAATAATGGATATTTGCTGCTGGATCACAGCTACATTTAATTAAGAAGCTGCAGTGTTTAAGATATTAAAATCCATGTTTTGAAAAAGGTTTGCTTTTACAAAACACAGGCCTTATTTATTCACAGCTTAAGAAACAGCCTCACTCTAAATTATAGTTTTAATATGATGTTGTGGGGGGAAAAAAATTCTAGCAACATAAGGCAAGATTTTTCATTGGTAACAAAAGCATGATATAGGAGTTTATACTTTCCTAATGATGCTTAAAGCAAAGATCTGGAACGGTATGTCTCAGATGAGGTCATGCATCAACTTCAGGAGAGTAAAAACCTCTCCTTAGACTACATTACAGCCAACTCACACCTTTTTGTTGTGCAGCCAAATATGCACGGCGTATGTAGACGAATGCAAACAGAGTAAATCATGTTGATTCAGTGCTAGTAGGAAATATGCCTCTTCAGTTGTGTGCTGCTTTTGAAGTACTGCCTAAAAATCAGTCTTGGGCTTCAAAGAGAGGGGATTATAGCCTTTATCCAGCAATTAATATGGCTGAAACTCAGAATGTCAGCACCTGATGACTATACAGGCTGGACAGTAGCCTAGTAGGGGTCCAGTCCCCCTCAAGAATTGGAATTTACAATAAAAATGAGTGCATAAATAATACAAATGATAATATATAAATTGAAATATTTTGGAAAGGGGGACAAAATTTTAACTTCTAATGACCTGTCTATATTTTGACATGTGGGGAAGAGAGGGAGTCGTGGTGTCCCTTGACCTTTAACCTGCCTTATCCACCTAGATCATTTTAATCTCCCACCAACTGTTAAGCAGAAAAGAGTGCTATTAAAGAGAAAGCTATTCCTTTTGCCTTCTTACATAGATCAGATGACAACCTCTCCAAGTCCCTCCTCTCTGTCAGAGTTCAAGGGTTCAAAAATGGTCAGAATATCAAGCAACAGAAAGCCAGCAGGACTACTGCAAAAAGAGTTTAAGGACTTTACATTATGCAAAGGGAGCTAAAAAAAAGGGAGATTCCCTTATTTTGAAGTTTTACTCCCTGAATTATTTTTTTTTCCAAATAGGTACTTTCATTTCAGAAGATCATAGAGCTTCTAATTTGAGGGGGAGGAAAATTCTTACATTCTTATGATATGCTTCCAAACTTGTACATACCTAATAATCTTTTCCATATTAATTCTTTACAGGTAGATCCTGAGGTTTAGGTCACGTACATATGTATTCATCAACAGTGTTGTACTGTAAATAAAATGAACACTTAACGCTCTAGTTCTAGCCAATGTGTCAGGGGAAATAAAGTAAAATAAGACAAAATGAAATTAAATAAATTGGAGCATGCAGTCTTTTACTTCATAACCATCCTCAGATGGCATTTCCACAATGCTACATATAGCACCCTATTCCTCAGGGAACATCCAAGCTTTCTACTATTTCTCATTCTTAACCATAGACAGTTGTTATAACACGTTTCTTCCCAGAATTTCCACTTGCTTTGAAGAAAATATCCCCTGAGTACCCATGCTTAATGTACTTATGGAAAAGCAACTCTATATCATGACAAGCTAAACAATATGTCTCTTTAATAAAGAATGTGCGATATTAAATGCAGAGTTGTTATTTCAAAATGGTAAAAAATCAGTTTGAGAGAAGGAATATAATTGCTCAACATAATATAAATGGAATGGGTGCAAGCTGAATATAATTTTTAACAGAGCCCCACTTTCTAAATATACATATAATGTGTTTGTGTGCCTGTGTACAGAGACATGATAAACAATAGAATTTAGAAAACTGCGTTAGATTTTGGCTTTTGCATTAGGCCCTTCATATCCTGTGCATCCTAAAATGCTTAACAATGTTTCCATTGTACTTAACTAAATACAGTAATGGTGGTGCAACAACACAATGGCCTGTGCTCTGCCTTGGACGGCCGAGCCTGGTGTGTGACAGCCAGTTTTGGCTGGGAAGGAGGCTTAGCCAGCCTCTTTTCACAAAAGAGCCACGCCAATATTGCCTAGACAGGCAGCAGGGGCAGGAGAAAGGGATTTTGGATTAACATCTCATCTCATGAAGGACGGCACCTCAAACAGTTCAACACCTCCCCGGTGCTGCGCTGCCATGTCAGCGCTAAGAACCAGCCCAAGTCCTGGTGGGAGACTTAAACTCGTGACCTTCTAGCCAAGAGGTAAGAGCACTGCTGGCTGAGCCACACTGTCATTGTTGGGATGTGCTTGCGTGGGCTGGCATCAGTGTTGACTACAGTTTGACCTGAGAGTGGAAAATTGATGCCCCCACAGATTTCAGAAGTAACCCCATCTTGCAGAAAAGCTTAGGGTTTTTTTCCCTATTGGAATTTACCTCTTCTACCAGAGAGCTGCACTTACCAGCAGAAGCCTAATCTCTAAATACTGACTTTCTAAACACCTGAAAGGAATTGGAATACCTTTCAGATATATCTGGATTCACAGTACTTAAATGAAAATTTTTGGATTAGTTTATAGTGTTTTCCAGGTGGAATAAATTTTCATAGCAAAGGTGGAGGAGGGAAGATTGCTATAGTATTTCCAATAATTAAGATTAAATATATATTTACATTTTACAAGGTAGCAAAAAACCTTTAAAGTACCTTGCACCTATATAAGCCAGGGTATTTTTCAAGGACACTTTAATATCAGTAGGTAAGATACAAAAAGGAGTAAGAAAAGTGTTCAACTGATATCATGTGCTATGCACAGCAAAGGAAATCCCCTTGGGGAATGTTTTCATTACGTTACAACGTACATAAATTTGATAGGGAAGAAATTATCTGTCTTGATTCTGCTTCTGCTGAAGTTGCCATTACCAAATTAGACAGTTGATGATTGCAGACTTGGACCCAGTCACTGAAGACTCATTCCAATTTGACAGTGATGCTAACCCTATTTAGCAGATGTTAAAATTTAAGCATCTGAAGAGTATCTAGTTTTGCAAAGTGATGACGTAAAAAGGAATTTTCTAGGGCTGAGGTACGTTGTGTGTATAGATAAACTTTGGAATAAATCTTTAGCTAGTAGTCCTGACAGGTTTAGATTTATAGTTTGATTTTTTTATCAAAACTTATAATTGGTGCTTATCCCAAGCTCCTAGCACCACACCAAATTTAATTTAGAAGCACAAATCATAGCAGAGAGTGAAACTCTGCCAGATACTAGCAAAAACAGTGCCAGCTAATTCTTACACATAAAAGAATCTCTCTCTCAGCAGATATCTCAGGCAATCATACCTTCCTAAATATACACTGAAAAGATGAACCAGTGATTTGACCGTGGGTAATATCCAGCAACCTTGTTTAATCAGATTTTAGCCTTCAAATCCTGCAAAGTCAGCTGGTTTCACGAGTTCCTGATTGCTTCAAAATCAGAGAGTGAAACAATGAATTAGAGCTGATCACCTACAGCTCTAATTCAGGACCAAACACTGGCAGTAAATACTCCAGAATGGGGATGTGAATGCAAGCCTCAGCCTCATTTCTCCTGCCTAGATAGGAGGTGTTGAACTGTAACATCTTTTTTTCTATCTGTTCTCCTTTTTTTGTACAATGTCTTTGCTTGTTTATTAAAATGTTCACTGCTGTGATCCTGTTTTTTACCTGGGGAGTTGAGTGGATTTAAGATGACACATAGCTGTATAAATCTTATGTTTCCTATGCCTTCTGTAAAGATGTGCCTGGCTGACCAAAAATAACTTTTATAAGCCAAGAAAAAGTAGTGAAAAGGCAGGGTGAGGGAGACCAAGGGGGTTATGTGTTGTGCACAATGTGGTAGATTTACAGGCTGTGGAGTGGGAGCTGGGTCTCTTCCTCAGGAAGGCAGCTCAGTCCTGGAGAACAGTCCTGCAGCTCTCACTGATGGATTCTGTGC